GTGATATTGGAGGAGGATTTTGCTCTAAATCCAATTTTCGAATTTTGAATAAAAATTTCAAACTCCTACACAAAAATATAAAGTGAAAGCATAAGGACATAAATAAACAAACAAAAGAAAGAGTGGCAACATAACACACCATCAATAAAAAAAATTACACTTTAAAAAGAATGCAGAACATAGAAAAGGCACATAGCAATATATATGGACCCGAGATCCGACACTGAAGTTTAGAAACTATAAAAACAGTAAAGCACAAAGAGAAGGAACCTACTCATAGTATAAAGCTCACCGAGCAAATTAACAATGGAGGAACTTGCATTAACAATGCTAGGTTTTCTGCTCTTGTGTTTTTGTGTTGAAGCTTAGTACAGGAAGTACAAGGACCCAAAACAGCCCTTGAATATTAGAATCAGGGACTTGATGAATATAATAAGCCTTGAAGAGAAAATAGGTCATATTAGCCAGATTGAGAAACATGTAAATTTACCTTAAATCATGAAGAAATACTTCGGTAAGGCATCCCAAACAAACAAAAATATTGAGGAAACCTTCACAGAGAGATTTAAAGTGTCTACACAAAGAGAAGACACTCAGCAACACATGAATTCGCCATTGAAGAGTTGAGATCTACAAAGAAGAGTTGAGAAAATAGACCAAGCTTAGCAGAGGAGGAGAGAGAAATCTATAGAGAATTGTGAGATGATAGTGCAAAACTTGTACACAAAGTGAAGCAAAATGAGACACGTGTTTATTCATCAATGAAAAAGGGCCAAGTTTACTGTACAATTAGTACTACCTTCTGTACAATTAGTAGATGCAGTGTTCGTCCTTTTTAACTCTTATTTCTAAATAAGGGTAATATAAAAAAACTAGTTAATGTGTATACCTACTAGTACTAAATAAGTCTATTTACTTCTAGATGACATAATTTTACCTTACAGATTAATTTAGAAATTTTACTATTGTTAGTTTTTTCTTATTTATATGGTTACATTACATGTATATTTATTTTGACAGACATATGTTGAATAAATAATTTCCCTTTTTTAACATTTAATATATATATTTACTCTTTAATTAGAGTCCACTAATATTTTCTCTTTTTTCAAATGTTTTTACTTTCCTTATCTTCTTTGTTTCCGTGTTCTCCTCTTCTTCCTTTTTTCCTGTTTTTTTTTCGTCCACTAGCCATAACTTCACTCAGGAATTTTTGAAAATGTTACTTACTATAACCAAGTTTTTCCATTTTTTTTTCCCTTGCAATTCTCTATAAAAAAATAAATAAACTATCTTATTTCTTAAATTAGCTCATCATTTCATTAATTAGCTACTATACAACAGAATTATTTGTAACATAATGAATAATCCTATATTAGAAAAGTTTCAAAATTACAAATAATAAGATGGAAATTTTGTTTGCTACCCATATTTTCATGATTATAATTATTTCTCTTTCCTCATGAAAAAGGAGACAATTTATTTAACAAAAAAATAAGTGCAAAAGAGCAATAAAATGTAAAGTAAAAATATATATTTAATGAATATATCAAACACAAAACTGCCATAATTATTATATGATACACCAATAATATGTATTCATTATGCAAAAATGCAACCTTGCTGTTTTCTTGATTTTTTTATATTAACTTTTTTCATATGTAATATGATTGTGATAGTGCTTAAAAGAGAATTGTCGGGTAGTATACCACAAATATAATAAATTATAGCTGAAATAAAATGACAAAAATAAATAAAAAATATATTCAGGCTGGGGCGTGTATATCTCGCTCTCTTTAAGTAGATTCAAGCCCCGATCCAACAGTATATCTCTTGGCTTGTCTCCTCCAAGATACAACAGTCTAACAACGTCGTACAACTCAAGCAACTCCGGATTAGTTGAAGAGCCCAAAGCTCCATATAAGAACACCTTTCTTCAACATATAATTACTCTCTTTTGTATAGTGAATATAGTTGAAGATTTAGAATTTTTTTTTTCTTAACTCTCTTTTTCACTACACTAATCTCAATATATTTTCCCACACTTCTCATTTTTTTTGAGATTATTTCTCTTCTACTTTTCAACCTAAAGGAAGACCACTATTTATAGATGATGAATTCTCCTTGCAATGAATATGAAGATAATGGGTAGTAAATTGACAAATGAATGACCCAAATTTTACATAAGTTACAAGACTGATTAGGTAAAATAATGGGGACAGGGCGAGTAGGTTACTAATAACTAATGACCACATTATACCACAATTAATGAAAGTAACGGGGATATATAATGCCTTTACGGAACAAATCAAATGCTCCGCAACAAGTACCACAAGCGTGCAACTCATTTGAGAATTAAGCACTTCAAAATATTATTAAAATGTTTAAACTCCAACAAGAATAAATAGTATTGCATATCAACAATTAAATTGGCTACCAACCACATTACCACTATTACATATTATTTGACAACAATAGAAAAATCATATAAAATTTTAGTAGAAATAGAGGAGCAAAAAAGTAATATCACGTGGAATTTTTGGGGTAGGAAATGATGGAGTGGAGAAAATAATTTTTTGGGATAGTAATACTTTAGTCTTTAGTTTTTAACTAATATTAATAGTTAATTTTTGTTAATGTGAAATATTTTATTTATGTGGAATGCCATGTGACAAGTTTTCAGTCTTCATTGAATGTGTCGATCAACATTCTATATAAGGAGCTGATTTGCATTCTTGTCTGGCAATTAGCTAAGCGAGAAGCTGTGATCGAGGAAGCCACGTGAGACAGTTTGGTTCTCTAGACCCATCTGCCACCTTGGAGAAGGGGCGCGGTGTTGAAATTGACGTTGAATCGGAGAAATGAGTTGGTATGGAAGAACTGTTGCGCCGTGGAAAATCCTTCTCTATACAAGTTCTCGAACTCCAATTTTTTTCTTCGGAGCCATTTCTTTCCGTCCCCCCGGTGTTTGCTTGCGTTGAGGACTGGAAATAAAAGAGAGAGTGCATTACACATACTCTGTTTCTCAAACTAATAAGTGATAGTTTAGGTATGAAACTCACACTCCCAATAATTTAGATATGAAACTCAAAATAAAAAATAGTTTAAATGTGTTTTTGACACTTGTCTCAAATATTTTTTTTAAAAAAGTCTAATATAACTAAATATCTTCGAAAGTCTCATAGACCAAAGATATGAGAGAATGATTTGTTATTTCTTTCTCTGTGTTATAGTATTATCTATCACATGAATAATGAATTATCAAGAATTGATATATATAACCAATAGAAGTTACTAATGAACATTCACGTTCAAAGGATTTGTAACATGACGAGATTCAAATTATTTTACTAGTGAACCGAGAAAGGCATAGTTCAGACTTCAGAGTTTTTTTACCTTCATTTTAGACACATCCCAAAACCTTGTTTGGATGGTTGTTACTTGTTATCCGCTGTATTGTATTGTTAGTTTAAATATAATGTTTGTTTTGATTGTTACTTAAATTCTATTATATTGTATTTTTTAAATCCATTGTTGGGTAATAACGAAAAGACTCGTTTTATGTAACGATTGATTTGATGTGATCGTATCGTTATGTTTATATTTTCTTTTCATTTTATCTTTATTTATTATTTAATAATTATATTTCATTTTTAATCCTATCTTTTCATAATAGCTCTATTCCATGCCTTACTTTTTTTCATATGTCTATCACTCAATTTCTGGATATATGACCCAGCGAAAAAGGATACAGTGTATGCAAATATTATATTTATTAAAACAAATACATAACAACTATCCAAACAAAAGTGTCAGTAGCCCACAAGAAAAATGTTACATTCAAACTTGTCCTCTTTCAGCTAACTCATTAATAAGCTCGTTCAACATTTGCCATGACGATCCACCTTGTTTGACAGCATTAATGGCTGCCTCTCCAATCTCCATCACCTTCTTCCTTGCCTCTATACCTTTTTCTCCTTCCATCAATTCCTTTATTGCCTTTTCCAAACCTTCCCAATTCACGAATCCTCTCACTGACCCATCACACGTCTCGACTCTTAGCCCAATCTTGATTACCTCCAACACCATTCTTGCATTCATGTGTTGATCTGCCATCATTGGCCATGCCAATATAGGCACTTTCGCGCACATGCTCTCGATCACCGAATTCCAACCGCAGTGACTTAGAAAACCTTGAACGCTCTCGTGACTCAAGATTTCTCTTTGATCAACCCACTCTGTCACCACTAGTCCCCTGTTTTTTACTCTGTTTTCAAACCCGTCATCGACTTCATCTAGACTTTTCCTGACTACCCACAAAAAACTCACTTGGGATTTCTCCAACCCAATCTTGATTTCCTTGAATTGTTCAGGAGATAACTCTGCTTGGGTCCCGAATGCCACGTATAAAACTTGCTTCCCCTGTTCTAGCATTCCGTCAAGCCATTTAATGTATGAAGGTTTCTCCTGTTTTTCTTTAGGCGACTCATGAACCGCACAAAAAGGTCCAATGCACCATGATTTAGGACTAGAGATGCGATTACAGACGTCTACATAAACAGATTCGAGCTCGTAAAAAGTGTTGACAAGTAGACCATAGCTTTTAGAGGCTGCCATGAGTGAATCCATCATAAAATCGAAAAGGGGACCTTTGGGTTCCCTGTCTCTGAAGGGTAAATCAAAGTCATTCCTAGTGAGTTTAATCCAGGGGAAATCAGGGACTTCAAATAGCTCATTGTCCGACGCTTGTGTCCTAAGAACTGAAAGAGCTGAAATTGACACGACCCTTGAAAATGCGCTCATGCCAAAATAAACCAGTCTTGGGATACCGAATTTGTTTGCAGAGTCTAAAGTCCAGCCGAGAAAGCCATCAGTAATCATAAATGTAACAGGAGGAAGAGACTCCAAGGCCTTTTCAAAATGGGGTTTCATCAATTTAGTGGCATTGGCAAAAGTAGCAAAAAGGGACATGGATGGAAGTTTATCAGTGCTTTCCACACCTGGAGGAACTCCTTGTATGTTTTGAGGAAAAGGGATTTCGATGATATTGATGTTGGTGTCGGAAAGGGAATCAGAGAAGAATGGACGATTTGCAGGAGTGGTGAAGATGGTGATGCAAATTTTGCGACAAAGAAGAAAGCGAGCAAGGTCAAAGATAGGAATTGTGTGGCCTTTGGACATGAAAGGGAAAACAACAACATGGAGAGGAGTCGTCATTTTTCTCTTCAGTTTGCTGATGTTATTGTCTTATCGAGGCTGTGGTATGGTTGTGTTGTGTGCAATTGTGCATAAATTTATCCATGTTACTCCCTCACTCTGTTCTTATTTATATGTGGCATATGTTAAAAATAGATTTTCCCTGATATTTATTATTTTACAAAATTTATATATAAAATAATATATTTTTTTATTTTATCTTTGAGAGTTATTAGCTTTGAAAGTATGAATTTGATCGAAACTAAATGATTAAGAGTCCGTTTGGATTGACTTAAAAAAATAACTTTTAAAAAATAACATTTTAAAGTGCCAAAAGTTATTTTAAAAATAAGTAGTTATGTGTTTGGATAAAAGTGTTGTAGTTGAAAAAAAGTTGTTGATGTATTTGGCAAATAAGTGTTGTTAAACACTTTTTTTAATCAAAATGTCTGAAATACCATTAAAATTGTTAACATAATAAAAGTTGATTAATCTAAGGTTTTTGTTTCTAAGAAAAATTAAAATAAAATTAATTTATATTTTAATTCAATTTCAATAACTTAATATTTAAGTTAATTTTAAATGTGCAACTTATTTTAAATTCCAAAAATATATAATTTGAATAGATCACATGAAAGAATTTGGGAATTGTTTAAAAGAATCAAGGGTAAAACAATAATATACTTGGTCAAAGTAGAATGACTTTTAAGTTTAAAAAAAAATAGGGGTCATCCTACTTTTAACTTTTGACTTATTTTAAGTTATTCTTATAATTGTCAAACACTCTCACAAGTAAAAGTCAGTTTGACCAACTTAAAAGTCCATCCAAACGGGCACTAATTCACGTTCATTGGCCAATTTTATTAGTCAAAATAAATTAATTTATGTTCATTTATTGCAAACTTGATTTCAAGAGAACATTAAATAAGGGTATAATGATAAATTTATATAATTTCTTAAGGAATTTAAATTCTAAAATGATGACATATAATAAGAATGGATGGAATATAAATTAGGGTTGCTCATCGGTCGGTTCGGTTCGGTTTTGAAGTTTATCGATTTGGCTTATTGGTTATCGATTTGTATAGATGCTAAACAGTTATAGAACTATTAAGATATTGACTTATCAGTTATTGATTTATTGGTTTTTGATCATTATCGGTTTGACCGTTAAGATTTGACACAAAAAGAAAACATTAAAAATCACTTAGAAATAAGGTGACAAACCATATGAACCATGCACATGAGTTCACAAATTACATTTTGGTCAAAAGCAAACACTTTTACATTGTAGAATAACCAAGAGTTTGAGACAACCAGAAATAATAGTAGGAAATCAAACTCTAAGTCAAAGACTTTAAATATAAAATGGTATAAATATAATTATTTAATTTACTATCGATTTATCGGTTAACCCGTTAAGAAAAAATCTCAAACCATTAAGAACCGATAACTCGATAACAAAAAAATCAAAACCGATAAACCAATAACTCATTACTGATAAACTAATAACTTTTTTTCGTTTCAATTTTGAACAACCCTAATATAAATAATGAAGTCAAGTGGATGCCAATGTGGGCCGCTCAACTATAATAAATTTCCTTGTCCAAGTTATATGTTACCCTTTTATGTCATTAATTAAAAAAAGAGGAATTTTTGCAAATAACTACTATAAAAAGTTTCATTATGCTCCATAACTATAGTTTGCATATTTACGGGCTATAATTATAATTTAAGTTGTCCCGTTTGTATATTCACGGGTACGTTTGTATAATTGAGTTATTTTTGTATAAATTCGAAATAATAAATTTATACAAACACAAACATCTGAACTTTAAATAGTTATACAAATTATATTATACAAAAGTCATACAAATTATATTATATAGATTCTGAATTATACAAATGTGCGAATTATACAAACTTGAAACCCCAGATCACGTAATTATCACTGAGTGTTGGTCACGAATAGTAATTAACTAAAACTATATCTATAATGACTTACTAACTAGTATATATTTACTTAACCATGTAATTTTCCCATAAAAAAAAGACACTACAAATGCTAAATGAAAGGAAGACCCAGAAAGTGAAAACAAATTTACTTATTACTCTCTCCGTTGATCTTTACTTGTTCATTATATTATTTGAGGATGTCTAATAATACTTATCTAATTTATAAAGCCAATGAATAATTTATCATGTTGTGTCTATTTTATCCTTGTTGTTAAATACTATTCATTTTTCAATATTTAGATGACTTATATTTAATAAGGGTGATTTGGTAAAATTACCCCAATCATTTACTATTTCTTAATCCATTTGTCAAGTCAATAGTGGACATCTATTGTTGGGTAGAGGGGGTACTACTCTTTCTCTCATTTTTTGTCATTTTATTTTATTACACAATCTTTATTTTAAACTCCCTTCGTCCCAATTTATGTGACACCTTTTGGATTTTGAGATTTAAACAATTTTTTTTTGAATAGATCGTGTCTAAGATATGGTAGAGATTCAAGGCACCACAAACTCTAAAGTTCCTTTTTTAAGCAAACAATAACTACCTTTCGTAAGAATTCTAATACATCGGTGATCTCTTCCTTCTACAAATCAAGTGAATGACTGTTTACTATGAGATTTTTGTAACACCCCAGAAAATTTTTGAGCTAAGACTCGAACCGTTCTTTGTAGTGAGTGAGATTTTTGCAAGGAATTTAAAATTTCTTGAGTATTAAGGTCACTAGATGTAGCACCTTGAGTTCCCAGAAGAATTTAAGAGAAAAGCATTCAAGTAATTCTTAAGTTTTCTGAAATTTTGGGTCAAATTCAAACTATCATAACTCCTAGAATAGGATGAGTTGGGTGATCTACAAGATAGAAAATTAAAGCCCTTCGAGTCCTCTTTTCAACGCCACTGACTTTTCTAAATTCCGAGCTCTGACTAAAAAGTTATGATGGATTCACTAATGTCGTGCAAACTTGGCAGCGGCTCCGCGACGCGGAGCAAACACTGACCTCACTGCCTAGCGAAAAATAATTCCGACTCCCAGGTCGTTTTATTTATTTTTTTAAGGGTATTTTAGTCCTAAAAACCCTTGGGAGGTCATCTAAATTGCCCTAAAGTGTAGAAAATCAGTTTCTTAAATCTAAACCCTCTCATCCACTCCAAAGATTCTACGCTCCAGAAATTCAAGAAAGCCAAGGCTAGGGTTCTTCTTTCCAGATTTTCCGTCAAGTTCTTCAAGAAGATGATTCATTCAGGTATGTAAGCTTCCATAGTGTTGGGTTTGTTCACCCACAGGCCAATCATGTTAATTTCAGCTTTAAATTCGTTCTAAAGTTGAAGCTTTGGTGTTCTTGTTATGTATTCATGAATTTGCTTTCGTTCTTGAATTGGGCTGAGATTGAGGAGTTGTTGAGGTTAATGTGTCAATTTATAGAGGGGTTAGAGTTAGATTCTTATGTACATGTGATGGTTATCTGAATCTAAAGAAAAGTTGAGCAAAATAATCGAATTTAGGCGATTTGGAGTTAGAAAACGAAGGAGAGAAAAGTCGGGCAAATATGGCACTTGGCTCCGCATCGCGGACCTCCCTCCCCATTTCATTAAGCTGTCTTCGCGTCGCGGAGAGGTCACAAACCTCTCTGCCTCAAAAGTTATTTCGCGACCAATTATTTTGATGAGTCTCCGCGTCGCGGACTAGTTTCCAAGCAGTGAATTTTTGATCTTTTCTCATGATTAGCTATCTAAAATCAATCCTAAACATCATGAGATCTTTCTTATCACAAATCACAACCTTGAATCCATAATTCAAGTTCAAGGTAAAGTTAAGAGTTAATTTTTTTGAGAATTCTTTCGAACGTTCTAAGAAAGTTCTTTAAGTCTTTTTGAGGAGTCTTCTACAATTTCTAATAACTTGTTTCAAGACTCGAGTAAGTGAGTACGAGTGAGGAGAATGTTTTCATGAGTCTACTATTGAAATGTATGCGTCCACTGGTCTAGATGGGGCCAGGTCCTCAACAGAAAATAAACAAAGTGCTGAAAGTAAAGATTGCACAACAACTTTATATGGAAACCTCATTGCTCAAGGGAGTAAAACCACGACCTGGCCTGCCAGGACTTTTCAAAAACTGCTTTCATTAATCTTCTCAAGCAAACGTAAAAGCAAGTTTACAAACTGAGATTAGCCTACTAATCCCAACTCTAAGCAATAACACTTATTACTTAGATGAGCCAGAGCAGATACAACACTGCCCACTAAGCTTTCACCCCTAGATAACTTAGACTTTGCTAAGCGGATATCACACCGCCCACTAAATCAACTAGCTCCTAGATGACTTAGAATTTGACTAAGCGGCAAACAATGTTGTCCACTAAATCAGTTAGCCTCAACTGACTTAGACTTTGGAAATAAAAATTTGAAAAATCTAGAAAAGCAACGAACTAAAGGACCCTATCCGTCGCTTTTCTGGGTTTTAAAAAAAATAAAATTAAAAAAAGCGACGGACTAAAGGACCCTGTCCGTCGCTTTTCTGGGTTTTAAAAAAATCCAGAAAAGCGACGGACAAAACCACCCTATCCGTCGCTTTTTCTGCAATATTTTTGATAGCAATCTAAAGTTCTAAAATCCCACAATAATTCAAGTTCTCTAAAGTTCACAACTTAAAGTTCTAAAATCCTAAAAAAATTCAAGTTTTCTAAAATTCATTACTTAAAGTTCTAAAATTCTAGAGAAAATGGTCAAATGACCCCCCAATCTATTTTCGGATTTCCAACTACACACTTATACTTTACAGGGGTCCTATTACCCCCCTGAGCTATTTTAAATTGAAATTATTTTCTCCCTGAAATGTCATTACCATGCATGTGTCTTGTGGTGAAATACACGCACTTGACACGTGTATTTCACCATTTAATAATAATTATTTTTTTAAAAGTTCTCCTCCTTCCTCTTCCTTTCTTCCCCAAGTATTTTTTCAACCCTAAC